ATATATTTCCTGTCTTGAAGGCTAAGGAACTAAAATAATTTATCTAGCTTTTATTCCAACCCTTAATTGACTCTGTTTTTATTTCAAGAATTTAATCAGGAACATTGCTGAAACATGATTGGCTAAGCCTGGGACTCTGGATTGATTGGGAATTACACTGCCTAGTGTAGTACTGTGGACCATGTGTGGTTGTTTAAATGTGAATTAATTAAAACTGAATAGAAGTGGGTCACCTACATTTTAAATGCTTGATAACCATGTGTAACTACTATGTTGGACTGTGCCATCACTGAGGAGGGTCCTACTGGGCAGCACTAACCCTGGAAATCCTCCTCCCTCCTGCAACTTCCTCTTCCACAGGGAAGGAAATAAGCACCTAGCAGCAGAAGAAGTACTGAACTCTTGATCTCACTTGTCATCAAAGGTCCTCAGGGAACCTATGTGACAAAGTATGAAAAAAAAAAACTTTTAGGAATGGGTTGTAGTGATACATGAAAAAATTCACAGGTAGTTTTAGGGAATAAAATAGAATACAAATAATGTTATAATTTTAATTTATATATTAATTTTAGCCATCTTGCAAAGAAATCAATTCCACTGTGGCATGGCATTTTCACATGTATTATATGTCCCATACCTCCTCACCACTCTTATGTATATATGCTTGTGTGCGTACATGCGTGTGTGTATAATTCTAAGTTGTGAAGGCATTTATCTGGCCATTTCTCAACTGTGTAAATAAAGATAATTTCTTTCATTCATTGTTCATACCAGCCTACATTATTGTCATAATTAGCCCCAAATCTTTTTGTAATTAGGAAAGCAAGTTTGTTTTTAGAAAGAAAAATGAACTTGCCAAAATTGAAACTAGGAGGAATGAGTCTTCTTGATCTTTTAGATGCTTCATTTTAGATAAAATGAGATGAATTTTATGTCTGTGCTCTCCCATTCTTGGAAGTGAAATGACTTGTTTAAAAAAAAAAGAAAAAAGAGGGGTGTCATTTGTAAGTAACTGTGACAGCTTTCATTTTTTTTGTCATCTTGCGTTGGTCTCTGTGTCCCCACTCATTGTCAGTCCTGAAGGAGAGGTACTGCCTTCCTTTCTGTGGTCTCTCCAGATGTTCTTCAACCAACAGTTGATAACCATTACTAACTGACTGACTGACTGACAGATTGGCTGACCTTGCCATCACTCTTAGGTTTTATGCTCACAAAATGTGCTAACATTTTGCCTCATTTTGCTTTGGGTCTGAGAAGTCATGCTCTTTCCAAATTTGCTATTTGAAAATCATCCACTGGAATACAGGAACCATTCATCGGAAAATGAGTTGGGCTTTCTCTAGGTTTGTATGTGTGACAAGATCCTAATGGAATTTTTTTAACCCTCGTTAGTTTTATGGACAGCACTAGGAAGAGAACACATTAAAACTCTTTGGTTTGCCTTGCTACCGCCTTCACCCAGCAATGTATTAAGCTGCTCAGGCTACCTGAAGCGGGTAGGGTGCCATTAACGAAGAGGAGCTCCTTTCCCAGGTTAGCTATTAGAGTAATTAAACATGCTTGTAGGGACATTCTGGCTTTGATAGGTTCTCAAATCAATCACAGTCCCCAGGCAGGAATCATAGTCTCCTTTGCTGTCTCCTTCCTTAGGTCCCAGCTGGGAGCTAAAGCCCAGAATCCTGTGTGGATTATCACTGGGTGTATTTTCTGGTATCACAAACCTTTTAAACTTATTCACATCACAACACCAGAATACAGATGTGACATTTCTGCTCCCTCACAGAAACAGAAGGGAAGATAGGAAAAAGAATGAATTAGTTTTCACAAAAGGCCAGTGAGCGTCTCTGTCGTGGCACCTGAATGATTGATGCTCCTGTTTGGAGAACTGTGGGAGTTCAGTGAAAAATGTCTCCTCTTCTTGGAAGGGTAATGTTACACTAAGGAGTGATACGAGGGGATTTATAGGTGACAAATTTGAACAGAGCCAGCATGGGGCTGTAGATAGCAAATGTCTGTTTTGCTCAGTAAGGAGACATTACATTCCAATAGCGCATGGTCATCATTTCTTCCTGATGTACCCATGCTACCTTTACATGTGCATTACTATGGGGACCCAAAGTCAAGATCTGTCAAAGGGATCACCCAAACTGACAGCTCCAATTTCTGCTTCTTTCAAACCAGTTAGACTTCTTGTTCTGGGCCTGCTGAGTTGAATGAAGAAGTCATGCTACATACTAGCTCACACAGTGTCTGGGAACCATAGCTCATTTCTCAGTGAGCCCATAATGCTCCCTTTTCTTCAGTGTGTGATATGCTTCTAAGATTACAATATTTGTCTTAATTCCATACTGGGGTTTACTGCCTATAGTTACTTTTGTTTGTTGAAGGGCGTTTGTTTATTGGAGGACATCTTGCCTTTTTGAAAACTTAATTTCCCATTATCAAATTTACCTTATTATTGAGAGTTGTATTTTCATGGTGAAGTGACTTTGTTTATAATGTTGCCTATTTTGCAAATACATATATAAACTATATTATTAAAATATAGAGAAAATAATTATATGCTGTGTAAATGTTAACTTGTATAATTTTTATAGTAACTCAGTGTGAGATTGTCACTACCGTTTAGCTCCATTTTAACAAGTTAAGACACTGAGACACCAAGACTATGCAGTTGCTATGTATTTTAGTGAGGATTTGAAACCAGGCAGGTAGACTCTAGAATACTCACTACTATTAAAATATGGGCAGAAACAGAACAAAAAGATAACCCTAGAAAAAGTATTTTGCTGTGTTCATCCTATGTTTAGACTTTCACAATCCTATCTTTCAGAAAATAATAATTTGTTTTTTGCCTTTTTAAAAAACGAGACAAAATTGAGTGGTTGTTGTTAGGGTGTCTGGTGACACTGAGGACTGCTCAGTTCTCCCACCAGGAAGTGCACCTCTCTGTGCTCTGCCATTCTCTGATGCCTGGCCATTTGGCCTCTGGCTTTGTCATCATTCGTGCTGCAGTGACTGTCTTGGTAGAACTTGCTCTTCAGAAAGAGCAGTTTTAGGATTATCGATCCTCAGATGTAAAACTCAAGTCCAAGGGAATAAACCCATGGGTATACTTCTAGTTAGAGTAGTCAGATCTTGTCTAAGGATCTGGACAATGGAATCTACTTTTGCCAGTGTCTATAAAGCTATAGGCAGGTACTTTGTTCTCTGGTCACTCTTCAGTTCCAAGGAGCGATCTTCGCCAGAGTAATAAATAGACTATGAATTGCTGTTATTTTAAAGTCTATTTCTTGGTTGACTAGGGGGTTGACTTCCTTCATTCTGGTCAGTTATTTGAGTATTTGAGAGTGATCTGTTTGGATTTCTGCCTGTCTCATTTAAAAGCATGTGAAGCCATTGGGAATCGAAACCAGAAGTCATTACTTTATGTTCCTCTCTGCTTAGATACTGGATTTCCATGGATATATTACTAAAGTAAACTCTTATGATGCTCTGATAATGCTTTGCCTTTCTTTCCCCAAACCTTTCATGAATGTTTCTGTGAATTCTATATAACATGTACTGTTACCCACTTCCAAGTGACCGTACTCCAGTGTGAATGTGCCCTGAGTGGAAATCTGCATTTGATCTCTGCCTTACATCATAAGCTCCTAGAGGGTGGGGTCTGTGTCTCTCCTAGCAGGTAAACACATTTTTAGTGATGTTTCCAGCAAACTGCAGAATAGCCCTCAGCCAAGGTGAGCCAAGCATTTGCTAGGTAGCTTAAGATTCCAAACGAACAAGGAGAAGAGTGTGTTTGTGGCGGGGTGCATGTATCCAGCTTCCCTGAATTTAAAGAGAGCTAAGGAGAAACAAATAGCACCAACTACCCCCTTGAGAGAGTCCCACATAGTGTCCAATCTTAAGAGGAGATGGCTGTAATGATGGAAGACATTCGAGACCAGGGTTCCAAAGTTGTGTGGACTGGTTCTGTCTCCTCCATCAGTTTGTGTTTGCAGAGGAATCCTAGGGCACTTCCTCTAGTAACCCCCTTACTTTCCCCATTAAAACCAGAATAGTAATATCAATAATGACTGACATTTCTAAAGCACTTTAAAACATTATAAGCCTGCTTCCTTATCCAATGACTCAGTCAGTCTACACAATAGCCCTGTGCAGCAGACAATGGCACTCACATTTTACAGCTGAGGAAACACAATGGAAGGCAGCCTCAGACAGCAGCAGGGCCTCAGCTCCCCCATCAATAGAGTGTGGAATGAAGATTGCATTATTACGTTTTTAAAAGCATATTACACGCTCAGAAAGTAATCCACTGATACACATTATCATGCAGCAAAGAGAGAAAGGGAAAAAGTAAGGAAAGAATTGAGGGGGGGTGGAGGATCCTAGAAAAGGACCACATGGGAATGCAAGAAAAATACACTGAATATGAACAGAAATGAAGGAGAGAGATGAAATATGATTATCAATAGGTTGGTGGTGATTTTCAAGCACGGCGATATCTTTCCTTATTTCTTTTACCATAGTATTTTTCCCTGCTTCCAGTTTTCCCTTTTACTAAAAGAATCAGATACAGTAATAGTGAAATAGGCTCCAGTACATCCAGTTGTGAGATTCCAAGAACCTACTTAAAACCACAAGGAAGACTGAAGTGTTGGAAAGATAGAGATGGGTCTATGCTAGGGATTGCTTGTGTTTATGGTGGGCATGATTAAGGGCCTTCTGTGGGGCTTTGGTTAAATGTGGAAATGGAGTGAAATGTATGATAAAGGAAGTTAAGATGAATGCAAATCCCAGTGGAAGGGACTAGGATGACAACATTGCTCCCTAAAATGGCCTTCCTAAACCTTGAGGGCAGCTCATCCAAACACTTGTTCAGAAGACTTCTCAGGTACTCGAAGATGCAACGATGTCAAGTTAGTCTGACTCGCTGAGGTTCTTCCTGTGTAGGGATGGTTTCTGCCCTGAAATAGCTCATTGTCGTGCTTGTGTTTCAGGATTTTATGGCCAGCTGCAGACCTTCTGTCCCCCGCATTACCCCGATTCCCAGAGAACCATGCCACCCAGCAGCTCATGCAGCATGGTGCCTTCCTTTGAGGACTGCGTGGTCCCCACGTCCATGGGTCAGACTGGTTTTGATGTTTTCCATAGAGCCTTCTCAACACACTCAGGCATTACAGGTGGGTATCTGTGACCTAGTCAAGAAAAAGAGAAGCCGGGTGTATTTCCTGTATCTGGCAAGGACCATATGAAATCCAGTAGAACTACCTCCCAGACACCTTCTGCCCTGGCTCTCACCCCTTTGCCTACCTGCACAGGGGCCAGCATTCTCCCTCTAGGCTGTAGCCATTTCTCCCCGGATACGCCCACAGTTCGCCTTCTCACTTGGGCATCCCACCCATTTGGCACTGCTTGCTAATCCAAGTGATAAATTATGTCGCCCTCTTGCTACAAAATCCTAGTCGTATCCAGTCTTGTGCTCTCTTCTGCGGCATAGCATTGAGACTCACATGGTTTTACCTAAGTCAAGTTCTCCAGACCTCCCCACCCAGACTCTCCCTTCATTTTCCCCTTATCCTGGCTTATACTCATGTTCCTGATCCCATGTGTCCCTTCTCTGCCTTGAGGTCAGCCCCATTCCTTCCTAAAACCCTTTTACTTCAGCTAAAGTCATATTTTATGTGAACACACATCCATGCAAGCCAATCTTCTCCCATTCTGTTTATCAAGGACACACTTAGAAGGCCTAAGCCTTAGCCCCCGCCAGCATCTGTAGGCGGCATGGGTGTACTGTGCAGCCACTGGGGCTGCATAATGCAGGACTGGCTGACTGCCTGTGTTCTTTCTCTTCCAGTGTACGATTTGCCTTCAGCTTCTCCAAGCCTCTTTGGGGAGTCTCTTCGCAGTGGCCCCGAAGATCCCACGTTCTTGGGGCTCAGCGCTGTGGACCGCTGCCCTAGCCAGCTCTCCTCTGTGTATACCGAAGGCTGAAGGCTCCCCAGGCCTCTCCTGCATATCCAGGACCTTTGAGTCCCTAGTCAAGCCTTGTGAAGGGCGCCAACCAAATCCGTGGAGCCAGTCTGGTGGACTGGGTCTTTGGAAGGCAGGACTGGATGGTCGGATCTGACTTTTCAGGAATCACTTGCACCTCTTCCATTTCTCCCTTAATTTGCTGGGCTGGGCGACAAGCAGGAATTTCTTCTCAAAGGGAATTTAGAGTCTCACTTTAAAGACACCTGTTACTTCCTGGTTGTCAGCTCTCGAAAGACCAATGAATGTGCACAGGCCTGGATGATGACCCTTGCTAAAGACTCCAAAGACTTAACGAGTGGAAGACTGCCCAGGTACCGGAGCAGAGTGCTTGGCCAAACCCAGGTTTCCTCTCATGGCTGAGTGATGCATGGCCGTGAACACTGAGGGAATGCATGGTCGAAGCAGGTGTGGCTTGGACTCTCTCACACTCTAGCTTTAACGTTTGTCTTACGTAGCCCATGCTAACTACTTGCTTCCCAGTGGCTCCTCCAATGGCAAAAGTAAGGTTTTATATTCGGCAGCCTACTTTGTTTTGGAACTCTGAAGACTTGCTTTTTATGTCTACTTTTAAAGGAAAAATATTTAAAGGATTGTTCTTTTGGTATAAGTCATTACCATCTTAATCACCCCAGCTACATGTATTTTACCACAGCTGTAGTTCTCCCTGGCCTAATTTTACAGTTTAGCAAAGGTTATCTGAGGGAAACAGAATAGTTACCACAACACACACAACACACACACACACACACACACACACAACACACACACACACACACACACACACACACACACACACTCACACACACTCCAGGATTGCTGCAGGAACCTTTGAGTGCTGTGTGTAGTGGTATATATCTTTAACTCCAACACTTGGAAGGCATTCTGAGTTTGAAACTAGCCTGGTCTACACAGCCAGGGATACATATTGAGACCATCTAAAAAACAAAACAAAAAACCCTTTTGTTTTGAGGTTAAGTGACTCCAGCTTGCAATCTGTTCCATTTGAATGGTCCCTGCATTGCCTTATCTCTGGTGCTCTGCCCTGGCCAGACCAGGAAACATGAGAGCTGGGACACATTGAGTTATGTGTATGGTTTGTCAGAAACCAAACCAAGGGCGCCTGTTGTCCAGTTGTTTTGTGTGTCTCTTCCCAGTTCCTTACAGGAATCCATTCATCTGTCTGTCTCTGTGTACTGCTGCCTCGTATTTTCATGTCCTCCTTCCTACTGTCCACTAAATCCTGCCAGCTCCTGGGAAGGTTCACAGAAGGCAGACTCAAGAAAGCAACTTTTTGGAACTCTGTTTTAAAGGCTGGCATTTTTCACAAAGCACATAGCCATTTTATGTTAAGCCTAAACAAGACATCATTTTCCAGGGACAACTTTTAGAAAGGTACTAAGAAGATCCTATGTCCTAGGGCAAAGGCTATACAAATAAGCTGAACTCCAAAAAGCTGGTCAATTCCAACATTCTAGTTTGCTCGAATTTCAGGATTTTTCCCCCCTTAATAAATGCTTCTTTAACAGAACTGAAGCTAAGTTCTTTCTGGAACTGAGATCATTGGGACCTTAAATAGTTCAGTGTCTTGGGATTGTGAGACTGCTTGTACCCCAATAGACAGACCTTTCTCAGTCTAGCCCCCATTCAGAAGAGTTCCATCTCTTCCAAGATGCCACCGAATGGGGTAAATAAAGAACTAAGTGTGGGTTCTAGTTTCACAGCTCATTATTTGGTCAGGTGTTGTTGAAGAGATTGTGTTCTTGGTGGAAACTATTGTGTAGACATCCAGGTCACATGACTTTGAATTCTCATAGGTCTTCTGATCTCTGAGGAAGGAAGTACAGTACGTCAGACTTCCTCCACAGGCGAGCTCTCAGGCTGCTGGAAACTACCACCCTTGTAGACCTGCTAGGTTGGTCCACTTGGGCTAAGCAGGAACACACGTATGTTAACACTGACGTACTTGACAGTAACCCTTGTCTGACCTCTGTCACACTCCAGGAAGAAAAGGAGACCCTACCCTCACAAGAAGCATCATCCGTTCATAAACCCCAAGGTTTTGGAAGGACCTCCAGGCAGATCTCATTTGGGTAATAAGGGAAGAACAGGTGGGAGGCAGTTGATCCGTCCACTCTAACTTCTGGAGTTACTTACGTAGGAGAGTCATAGAAAGGAACAGAAACACAGATCACGTACAGCATCTGCTCCTGTGGTGGAGACATGAGGCTCGGGATCCAGGCTCTGGACTCACGGTGGCTTTCCACATGGCATGGCTCTTTCCTGGGTCACCTAGGAGGACCTGGTGTTATCAAAGCCTTCTTTAGCCCAGAGGGACATTCTTGCTGTCAGAAAGAAGCATGCTTGGGCACATCAGGGTCCTTCAGATCATACAAGCTGTCTATCTTTAGGTTCCAGAATTTCACCTTAGATTAAAATGTGCCCCTCACTTACTTTGGCCTACGTAGTTCCATCCTTGTTTTTAACCAGTGAAACTAGAACTTAAAAAACATTGATTATTCCCTTCCATTCTCCTAGGCCTTTTTAGTCCTTGGTGGGTAGCCATTTTCATAAACATCCACCTGGAAATTGCCATTCACCTTTAAATACAAATATGCAAACAAAGCAATAACAACTAGTGCTTGTGAAAACACATAGCACAAATCCAATTATCCTATTACACAAAAAAGATCAGTATGCCTAGAGACATTTCATTGCTTCATCCGTTGTCCTAACTCCCTAAAGGGACTGTATCAAAGTGTCACTTGTCATTTACCCTCTGATCAGCACTTAAAAACTGTTTAAATATTCCATGGCCCTGTGAGGTCCCTTATGGTTGGTCTACACCACATGGCCCAGGTGAGTCTGAAGTAGAAAATAAAGTATGTGGTAGACTACAGCATAAAATCTCCTGATAACAAGTTTGGTTATGTTCAGTCCTAATGTGACCAACTGTCAAATGTACTAGTTCACTAATACAGGCTTGGAACAGGGCTAACCTGTCACAGAACCCGTACCCCTTCCTCACCCCTGATTGCCTGGAAGTATTGACAATAGCCTCTGTAATGTTCAGTTTTATTATTTGGTGTTTGATTTGACTGTTTAGACCATTGCTGTTATTGCCGCAGATAAAGTAACAGGGAAAGAGAAAACCCAAACTCATTGGATAAAATGGTGAGTGTAAAAATGAAGAGATTTATTTTGTACAGACAAAGAAGTGTCCTCGGTAATATTGCTGACATAAAGCACTTTGGGAGAAAAGTGGAAATCTGTTTTCCATAGATCACACAGGCTCTTGTACATTGTTCTGTATACTCACGTAGAGAAATGTGCTGCGTATATCATACTGGATACGGGGCCGGTTTGACTGTAGATGCACATCTGGTGCTGGTTGTCATAAATCTTTCAAGGAATTAGGTACACTTTTTTCTATTAATATGTATAGTTTTGCGATTTGTCACAGTTATGTTTCATATAATCATAAGTTATTTTGTCTTGTTTCATGAAGTCCTTTTTTTATGTCAAAAGTAAAATGAAGGGATTGTGTACTTGGCACAGAATAAAACTGGAAATAGAGGACGCCCTTCCTGCCTGAAGCAGTCCTTCAGCGCTGTCGCTTTAGAACACAATGGCAACCAGTGTTGTTTGTTTGTTTGTTTTATTGTTCTGTTTTGTTCTGTCACCAGCCTCCTCTATATTGGGGATGGTAATTATAATTAACAGCAGATGGGGAGGGGGTGTCCGAGGCCAGCTTTAAAATGCCGCATCGCTTTGGGCCAGAACTGAAGCCTGGATTTAATTATAGATATGAGGACGAAATGGCAGTAAAAATGAATGTCTCCCTGAATCCTTTACATGTTGGGAGTGTCCATAAATAAAACATGAAGTTTTATTTCATCACATTTAATTAAAGCTTTTATACATGTTTTATTGGTTATTCTATTAATCCACTTCACAAACTGGATAAATGTGTGCAAGGGCTCAGAGTTTATTTGGGCTTTTCCAATGTAGCACTACATCATGCTCCAGCAATGCCTCTAGAGCTTGCCAGCCCAGGTGCTGGGCTTTCAGCATGCTGCGGGTGGGAGGAGTGCATTTCCAGCTCCATATTCCTATAGTCTTTGGGGGAAGACCCAGCACCACCAGCTTCCAAGGATCAGGCTCAGAATCCTTGATACCCTGTGGGAACAGTGGTCCCTATGCTGGTGTCTACTCTTAGAAGGCCACCTAGTCTTTTGCTATATTATGTTTCCTTCATACCAGCAATTCTCATCCTGGGGGGCTATATTTATATTATGATTCATAAAAGTATGAAAATTATAGTTATGAAGTAGCAACAAAATCATTTTATGGTTGGGGACCACCACAACATTAGTATTAAAGGGTCTTGGCATTAGGAATGTTGGGGACCACTGCTCTAAACCCATGCATCAGGGAGCATGGTCAGGATGGTTTGACATTCACCAGTTTACTGACCAAACACAGGCACTCACAAAGGGTCACCATATCATCTGGGAGGCCTGGCACCCGCCTATAGTCCCAACACTCAGGAGGCAAAGGCATGGTGTGAGTTTGAGGCCATCCTGGGCTACATAGAATGTTTTAAAATCAAAGAAAATGCTCCCCAAAGAAGCATTTGTACAAAGACTATTTCAGGGGACACTAGACAATAGCTGCATACCTTGTTGTGTTCCTTGAGGTCAGAGAGCAGGCACTGACAGGAAGAAGGGACTCCCTGGCTTCCTCAAACCACAGCTGCTGTGGATATGACTTATTCCAACCCCCAAGGGAATGGTTGGAGCATGAGTGGAAGAGTTGGTGGTAGGTAGATCCCATGTCCCCACAATGCCATTTCTCTGCCAACAGTCTAAAGTCAAGGATACCTCAGATGCAAGATGTTCATCGCAGCATTATTCACAATAGCTCCAAACTAGAAATGACTCAACTACCCACTGATAGGAAAATGAACCAATGAGACTTACATGAATGATATAATGGATGATATACCACAAAGGAGGATGACAGGACTGGAGTCCCTCACAGCAGCCTCACGAACCTGATCAAGAGAAACACAGAAGTGACCACTCAGCGTGACTCTATTAATGGCTACTTTAAACCAAGCAAAATTCAATTCCATTACATGGTTTAGGTGGTAGCGCTGCAAAGAACAACAAGGAAAATATTAGCACAAAGCCCTAACTCTGGGAAAGGCTCCTGGGACACGGCTGCTGAGAGACAATGCTTCATCTCTTTGTCCAAGTGCTAGGATACCCAGGTGTTGGTTTTATAATGATTTTACTGTGCATATATATTTTATAGTTTTTTTTACTTCAGATAACAGAACACCAAGTCTTTCATCCCCACCCCTTGCTCTGCAGACTGCTTCTGCAGAGAGCCAGATGGTGCATATTTTATACGTGAAGGGCTACCTGGTTCCCTTTTCACCTACTCCGCCACCATAGTTCAAAGTGGCTGCAGACGAGGCACAGATATACAGGCTGGCAGCGTTCCTTCCCACAAAACTATATTGGTGAATGCAAATCTGAAACTTACCCCCTAGTTTGCAGGCATTCTTATTTTTTGAAATCCAACCATTTCAAAATGTTTTTTTCTTTAAAGCATTCTTATTTCACACATTGTACAAAAACAAGAGACAGTGGTCAGCAGGGTTTGGCCTGTGGGCCACAGTGTACTAACCCTCAATGGAAACAGGGTCTCTTGTCCATCCCATAAATTCCCACTCAAAGAAAGCTGCCCATAGGAGCCCCTCTTATCGTTCTTCTGTGACCTAGGGCCCTGCTCCTAGAGGGGACTCATGGGTTCTATTTATTGAGCTTTCCTCTGTTTAGATCTTGGGTTCTGCTCCCCGGGATACAGATGAATGCTGGGAGCCTGGAGTGCCTTTCGACTTTATCTCTGGATTTAACGTTTTTAATAAAAGCAACTGGGCATACAGGAATCTGTGAGAACTGGAAAATGAGCGTCCATTCTTTCCAAGCTAACCAAATATTTGCTGGATCTTGGCAGCCCTAGCCAACCTTTTTCCTCTGAAATCTTGAGAGGTTATAAGTAATGGATGCCTTCATTTTTCTCAGGCCACAGCGCTTATGAGAAGCTGCAACTGCCTCAAAACTGGCAGGGGAAAGAGGGAAAGGTCCTGGGGAGGAAGGGCAGACATGGGGGAGGGGGGAGGGAGGGAGCGAGGGAGGGAGGGAGGGGGGAGGAAGGGAAGGAGGGAAATTCAGCCAGCTGGTAGAATGCATCTTCCACACTATTGAGACCCTGCCTTACATCAATAGGAAGCCCTGTAGCAGAGGCAGGGAAGTGCTGACAGTTGTACTGCTCCAGATAGACTAAGAGAGGTGAGTTCCTCACCCCACCCCACCTCCAGTGCCCTCTGTTTTCCCATAATGCCTAGCTCTCTAATTCCAGAACATAGGGTCAGTGGCAGTAAATTTACAGGGGAGGTGTGAATGTTTCCCTCTGTGTCTCTAGCCTAGGCAAAACTAGTACATGACAAAACTATCAGTCTTCATGGATCTCGAGTAATTTGCTTAATATTCGCTTAGGCTAAGTCCTTATTAGCTGGTTCCCCACTATTTTCCTGCGCTTGAGTTTACAGTTTGTGTGCTGCTGAGATTCTAGTGTTTGGGGGCAGAATAACTCAGGTTTTAGAGTTGAATGAAAAATGTCATCAGGGAAAAGTTGACAGAACTGCCAATCAGCTCATTTTACAAAGGAGGAAACAGGTAATATCACTCACTTACGTGCTCATTCTTTTTTGTTTTGTTTGTTTGTTTGTTTGAGACAGGGTTTCTCTGTACTGGAACTCACTCTGTAGACCAGGCTGGCCAAGAACTCACAGAGATCCGCCTGCCTCTGCCTTCCAAGTGCAGGTGTGTGCCACCAGCACCCAGTTTATGTGTTCATTCATTCTCTTTTTGTATATAAAATGAGGCAGCTCATCTTCAAAGAACCGAGGATCATAAGATCAGCCGTAGAAAATACTGCCCAGGGCTTTTTTAATGGACATTTTATGGGACCAGCAGGACCCGTAACTACAGTCGATCCCCTGGACGTACATGGTAATAACGGAGGACTCCAGAGAGTTGTGACCTGATTGCCACAAGCCCACTGTGCCACTCCCCGACACAAGCAAACTCAGTAAATGAAATTAATATCGTTTTTAAGTAATGCGGAGAACGTGCATTTTAGAAGCACCAAATAAATAGCACAGAGTAGAAATTCTGGCAAGCTCAAGGCACCCAAACGTTTAATAAGTTCTCCAGGTGGCTGTTTGTAGAGGCCACAGCTTGACTGCCTCTGACACGGTGGGGGCAGAATTCTTAAGAGAAACTGTGGAGAGCTTGCAGAAGAGGAACACCCAATCCCCACCTGGGGAAAGAAGCTCAGAGTTGGAATCATCTGTGAGAAGTAGCGGGTGTGGGAACTAGTCCTGAAAGGTGAATGGGCCTCCAACCGGGGAGGGCAGTCACGCCACATGCTAGCAGGAGGGCAGGAGAGCCCTTTCTCTGCTCAGACTCAATGCCCAGAGCTGTAGCCCTTTCCCCGGCAGCCTCAGCGCGCCCAGCAGCAGGTGGCACATTCCCACTTACTCTACAAAACAAGGTCGCTATGGCTGAGACCATGGGTCATGGTCCTTTGACCTGTCTTTACTGGAGGATCACTCAAAGCCTTCACTGAGGTAAAGGTGCACTGTGACTCTCCAAGGGAGAATCCAGACAGCACAGTGTGTAAACTGAGAAATTAACCTTGTCCCCAGGAAGGGACTCCTTAATACTATGGAATCTGTTTACTGGTCCCTTTAAAAGGTGAAACTTGCCTTTACCCTGTGACTTGGCACTTCCAGTCTTAGTTGAAAAGGATTGATACCAGATACTTAACTGTAGTCATACACAACACAGGATGGTCTGATCAATAGTGGACTTCATGGCCAAGGGTGGTCTCATGAGGTTCAAATGAAACTCACAGTCTAATATGCTGTGGCCAGCTGAGTCTTAGTGCAAGAGTTACTCACCTGTTTGTGGTGGTGCTAATGTAAGTAAACCCACCAAATAACAGCATAGAGAGTATCAGTTTGCAGCATAAATTATGTTTGATAACAGATGACTGACTTGCTTATGTATTTGCCATATTTCCTATTGTTTTAGAGTGTACGCTTTATGCTTTTTAAAATATAACTATAAATCTGCTGTTTCTGTGGCAGTGGCCTCTTGCCTGTATCCCAAGACAATGTGGAGTGACTGACCTTTACTTTCTAGGTCTGCGCATTCTGTGATGCTGGCACAAGGACAAATTCACCTAACTGCAGTTCTCAGAGGATATCATTGCCATTAGTGGTGCACGACTGTATGTGTACTAACGGTCATGGTAGCCTTATCCAAAAAAATATAAATGGGGAAAATATTCTAAAACACCTAACAGTGGATGGGTAAATGAAACGTATTATAGGCATACAAAGGAATACTGTCCAGCCTTAAAACTGAAGGAAATTAGGATACACATTAAAGCGTGATCTCGCCTCAAAGACATTATGCTAAGTGATTTCAGACACAAAAGGATAAATGCTGTAGGGGGCTTTTTCTGGGAGGCACCTAGCACAGTAGAATCAGAGACAGTAGAATAGCACTTACCAGGCATGAGGGTGAGAGAGCAATGAAGAGCTACTATTCAGCATACTCACAATTTGTATTTGAGAAGATGAAGATGTTTTGTGGGTGGATAATGCGTAGCATACAATGTTATGAATGTGTACCCACTGAATTGTATACTTAAAGTGCTAAATTGATGTTTTTCTCATCTTACCACTTTAGTACAATGATGGTGTGGGCAGAACACTTCTTAGGATGCCTGATACCTGACAGATAATACAATTGTAAAAGTGCTTTGTTTGGCCCTGTTCTTGGGGTGCTCTTTGCAAGGATCCCCACTCTAGGAGTGAGTGGAAGCTGAGTCTTTGTTAGAGCAGTAGCTGATCCTGATGGGGGGAAATGTTTCCTGTAAATGGCCCCTGGCTTTCTGAGATGGAGGACTAGAAGCTGGTGAAGCGATGGGAAGGTGGTCCAGACAGACTGCACATGGAGTGTTGTGCTTGCTCTGAGTCTTTGGTACAGAGTGAGGAATAGGATGGGAGATGGGAAGGAAAGCAGTGGATATTGGTGGTGCAAGGGAGAAGTTGGAGAACTAGGGGACATTCAAGCAGCATTGCTTAGACTTAACTGAGCCCAGTGTGAGCAAGGTTAGAAATGTGTTTGTATTTCATCCATGCCTGTGACAATTGTTTTCTGAGCTTCAGGCCCAACACTACATGCCAGCTGGGAGCAAGTGATAATACAGGAAAATGAAACAAAAATATCAGCGGTCCTGGTGCCGTTTCCAAGTGGACTGACTTCAAATGGCTTATTCTGGTTGCCTGTGAAGTATGGGAGTTTTCAGGGAGTGGGTTCCCCTGGGATGCAGATACTGAGACGTGGCCAGGAGTGTAAAAGATTATTGGCACAGTTCACTGGAGAAAGGAATAATGCAGAAACTGAATTGGGCAGAGGGGTGCCATCAGAGTGTGATGCCAATTAAGTCTACAAAATCTCTGCCAGCCACTCGAGACATTCCCATACAAAGATTGCTCCTATCCAGTAGAAGGGTTCCATGCTGTGTAGAACTAGGCTGAAGGGCTTCCTGAGAAGAGGCGCTTGGTCATCTCCATCCTGCTGACTCAATGACTAGGGTCCTTCTGAAGAGCTGCCAAACAGAGGAAGACCTGAAAAAGAATTAATGACGTCCAATCTACACCCCAGGCAACTGAGGAATCTGATCAACTTAACACTGTGCCCGCCTTGTAGGGCACTGAGGGAGAACAGTGTCCCCAACCCTGTGTTCTCCAGTTCGCAGTAGAGAATATTCTTGGCATACACATTGGTTCTTTAGTGTCCGGACTTAAGCCATGCGTGGCAACTGTCCTGCCACTGTCTCATCCCCAGCCATCAACATGTGCGTTTCTGAAGTTATTCCTGACTGAGTCTCTCGGGGTTGTCTCCACTGTCCAGCTTTGTGGGAACACTCTCAGTCCCTGGGGTTTCAGAATCTGAGCGGTTCGTCCTGCGGCTGCCACAGCATATACCTCCGTGGGAACAATGGCAACACTGTCCTCTGAAAATGAGGAGGACCTCTTTTTCTTCTTGGGAGGCATCAAGAGAGGGTGCTGGCTTCGGTGCCAGGCAGAGCTCGTTTTTTGATGCTTACATGCTTTGCAGCACCTGGAGTTCTCAAACTACCCCGATCTGAACCCATTTCTCATTTAGAGGGGATGTAGCTCATCTCTCCAGCAGTGAGTACACAGATTATCCACAAAGACCCAGGTGCTCGTCAGATGCTCTCGGAAGGGCCATTGCCCTCTTTTAAAACTCACTGGTCCTGCCACCCAAGTGGAATGATCACTTATGGGGAACCTCTGGCAAACACTAGCTCTGACATAAGAACTCCGAAGTGCTGAGGAAATGAGCCAACTGAGTGGACCTGCACAAATCCTGCAACAGTGGTGCCTTCAAAGTCCACAGAAGCTCTGCTCACCTCATGGCACATACGTGCATCGCCAGCTCCTGTACACCATTGAAAAATACAGCAGCACCTCCAGGAACAGCAAGCGGTCTCCTGTGCTAGGTTATCTGTGCCACTGGGCTCCACTAGGGCCATTTCCACACCACCCTTTACAGTGGGACATTCACATGGTCAAAAGGATGTTAAACCTGTTTTCCTTTTCCTTCTGCACTCACTCCAGGTACCTACAACCCTGAGAAATCCCTAACTAAACAGTCCCATGCTACATCCAGGACCAGTACTAGCTTCATTCTCAAATATATCCTCTCCAGAGTGGATCAAGACTCTAGCATGTTCATCCTGAGGTCTAAGGAACTGCCTGGAAGTCAGGTATGTGTGAGATCAAGGATGGAATTGAATAGGTATGGAATGTCTGTATGTATGAAGTATTGTCAGGGTTGTAAATGGAAGACAAGGGTGATGGTTACAAGAAGAAAGTCTGCTTCTGGTTCTCATGATGCCATTACATTCTAGCGTTGAGTTCAAAAGATGCTCTCATTGTTCAAAAGAAAGCCTGGTGCTCTGCCTTGAAAGTTTGCTGAAGGCTTTCTTCCCAGAATGTGGCACTGCTGGAAAATGATGGAACCTTAGTAGGTGGGGACTATTCGGTGGAAGTTAAGCAAATGGATTGGGGTGCCCTCAAAAGCGAGGTAGGATCTATGTTAGTTGAGACAAGATAGAGCAATCTGAGAAGCAACCTCAATTAAGAAAAGGTTTCTATGAGATAGGACTGCAAGCAAGCCTATAGATCATTTTCATAATTAGTGACTGGTGTGGGATAGCCCAGTCCATTGTGGGTATGGCCACCCTTGAGCTGGTGGTCCTGGGTTTTATAAGAAAGCAGGCTGAGGAAGCAATAAGGAGTAAGCCAGTAAGCAGTGCCTTTTGATGGCTTCTCAGCTATCTCCAGGTTCTTGTCCTGTTTGAGTTCCTGTTCTGACTTCCTTCATTAATGGACTGTGATGTGGAAATGCAAATTAAGCCCTTTCCTTCCCAAGTTACGTTGGTCATAGTGTTGCATCGTAGCAATAGAAACCCTGACTAGAACAGAAATTGGTTCCTGTGTTGCTATGTCAGACCCCATCCTGTTTTTTAGAGTATTGTGGGAGGACTTAGGAACAGAAAAGCTGAAAAATCAAAGTTTGGTGTGCCGTTCTGTAGGATCTTGGAAGACAGGAATGTTGAGAGCAGTGTAGGTGACAGAGGCCTGGCTTGTGATGTTTCAGAGGGAAGTACAGACTCTATGGGACCATTTGTGTAAAGGAACCGTGGTGTCTGCTCAGCTGCCGCTGAAGACTAGGCTGTAGTTAGCAAGAGATCATAACCACTAATGTGAAGCATTTGCTTTGCTGGGACAATACATGCTGGTCAGCTGGGAGCTGAGAAATTATCGATGATTAAGAAGAGACCAGCATCGAGGTGAGGTCTCCTGGGAAGTGTTTCCTCAAAGTCAGCTCAAAGAAGCTGTGTTGGGGAAGGTTGTACCCTCCCTCTGGCAGCTGAACTTGATCATGTAAGAGCTTCCCAGGTGGTGCTGGTTTTAGAGGCAAAGAGAAGCTGAGGCTTGGCCCTGTGAGAGACCAGGAGAGAGCCACTGGTGAAGGTGCGGTCTCAGTAGCAGTTGAAGGCCCAAGATTGAAGGGGTAATGGGCAATGTTGAGGCTTAGAACCATGAAGAGAGCCCAGGAGAGGCTGTTGGTGAAAGTCCAGTTCAGTTGCAGCTGGAGACCCCAGCATTCTGGGGATGGCACTACCACGGGATGACCAAGGACAACAGCAGCCATTGGGTGGAGCTGGCCTAAACCTACAAGACAAGCTGTGTTTTGCAGGGAATGGAGGCAGAGACCTGACCCAAGCCCTTTGGAGGAGCCTGTAATACGTGAGTAGATCCCAGACATTGAGTTATTTACACAGTTGGAGTGGGTTTTCTTTGATTTGATTGTGACTGCTGTTTCTTCCTGCTGGAAGGAAGAAAGTATTTAACTTATTTTTTGTTACAAGAGCTCACAGCTCACAAAGGAGAGATGTTAGCTTTTCAAAGTCTTTCGATTTAAAAAGAGTCTGGATATTTTAAAGAGACTGGGATTTTTAAGTGTTTGAATTTTTAAAGGCTCTGGGACTTTTTAACTTCGTGAAGTATTTTATATTGTGATGTCTTTATTAATGTGTGATCTTAGGGATGACCAAGAAAGGGAAGGTTGTGGCTTAACAGTGATGTGTTTATGTATCAAGGTGACAAGGGGTCACTTATGCTGGCTAGTTTTATGTTGACTTGACACAGGCTGGAGTCATTGAAGAGGATGGAGCCTCAATTGAGAAAAAAAGGCCCTCAAAAGACAGGGCTGTAGCAGGCCTGTAAGGCTTTAGTTTTTCCCCATGAATAATCATTACTGTTTATTTTTAACTGGGGTCAAATACAATTGAAATAAAGCAGTTTCTGTGAGTTTCCAAATTATCCTAATGATTTATTGGTCTCCAAAGATCTTTGTAGAGTTATCTTGGCACAGAGTTCTAAGCCAGAGCCCTCTAGATCTGGTATAGACCCATGTAGTCCCTGTACCTGCTACCTCAGTCTCTGTGAAGTCATATGAGCCTTGTTTAGTTGGTTTAGAGGGCCTATTCTGGAGTCCTTCATCCCCTGTGTCCCACACTCCTGCCTCTTCTTCCACGGGGTTCCCTAAGCTCTGAGGGGAGGGGTTTGATGGAGACATTGCATTTAGAGATGTGTGTTCCAAAGATTCTCTCTTCATAATTTCTGGCTGTCTCTATATTTGTTCTCATCTGCTCAAGGAGGAAGCCTATCTAATGATGGCTGAATCAGGCAATAATCTATGAGCATAACCCAATATCATTAGGGGTCATTTTGTTATTTTTAAGACCAGTAGTTATAAAGCAGGATGGTAAGAGTCCATGAGAGCCCAAACTAAAGGAATATCAGATATCTATCAGGGAGTCACTCACAAGTGATAAATAAGTTAGAGAACCGCTGCTGTCTTCAGCCCAGGGGAGCTAGAAGCTACAATCGAGACTACCACCCAGCAGAGAAAGCATGCCCATTCTCCCTGCTTATCAGTCCACACATGGCACCTGATACCACGCCCAGCAGGGAAAGCATGCCTATTCTCCCTGCTTATCAGTCCACGCATAGCACCTGATACCACGCCCAGAAGGGAAAGGTACCTCAAAAGCTATTGGCTGAATGACTTCCCCAACAATTCTCCCTTTTGTCTAAATAAGAGGGTTCTAAACCTAATACATAATTATAGAATACAAACAGATACCAAGTATTGTCCAGGAGACAGAAAACGCAAAAAAAAAAAAAAACCACACACACACAAACTTAAAACTACAACCAACAAGAGAAGCATCAAGCAATAAACACACACTAAATGTTCAGGTTATAGGTAATTGGCAAAATATAAAGATTATTTCAACAGCTGTGCTATCCTGAAGAGTCTAAGTCTTGTATCTAAAATGTCTAGCTAAGATGTGAGATGTAGTAGCTGTGCTATCTAGTCTTCAACTCCATCAAAGACCTGAGAAGGAAAGTAATATTACCTGAGTAAGCAGGAAGTGCAAGCTGGTGACTTCCAAAAGGTGCAAGAAATGACAGAAACAGCTGGCTACCTGGACAGTCACCCAAAGTCTCAGAGTAACACCAGGACAACCAAGTTTGACTAAGGCCTAGAATATCTGACATATCATTTTCAGAAGCAGGAAGATTCGAAAGATTTCCCTACCCTGTCTTGGCAAGGTTTAGCAGTTGTTTTTGCTTGTATCTTGCTTGTCCAGTTTTGACAGCGTGCCTATTGTCAGCAGTCAAAGCAAGGGCAGTTCTTTGCCCAATAGTCCAGTTATTCCAAGAAGAGACTAAGCTCCATATGGAGTGTCTCCAGTGCCCATCAATCTCTTGGGAATAGACCAATGCTGCCAGGTTCTGTGGTGTCTCATGACAACAGAGTCATAAATTATTAAAGCATTTAAATGCCATATTATGTAGGTCTTTGAAATGTTTGAAGATCATGTATCTATATAGAGCACATCTCTGTGTATCTAGAGAATCTGATTAAGATAACTAGGTATGATAAGCATGGGTGACTATAACATGTAATTTTTAATAACATGTATAGCTTACTGACTAAAGCTTCAGATATAAAAAATAAACAATCTTTAAACAGATATACAGCATGATAACAATGACTTCAAAATTGTAAATACATATAGATCAGAGGTAGAACTGTATAGTGCAATATGACAAAACAATCCATAAATTGTATAAATATACAAAATACCTTAAGCATATGTAGAAACATACATACAATATGACAAAAATAATTTCACATTATTGTGCAAAAATGGTATAAACAGAAAGAGGAATATACACACTATGAAAAATATAATTTCAGGTTTATATTGATATACAATTTATATTAGACAGGAATACAAAAATAATTTTATATAAGTATCAATATACAAGGATCTATATCAACTAACAGTTGCTAAAATAGTTCACCAGTAGATACACTAATTAACTTATTATCCCATACCATCCACTTTCTTTCTTTTCCAAAAGAGATTTCTGGGTCTAAACTTGATTATTCCACCCCCAACCCAATGTAGCACATATCCTGTTTCCGTTCTGAGGTCAACACATCCTTGAAGTACACCAGCTGATTTAACTCAGAAATTTTTTTTATTGTTCAATGTCTCTCTGAAGCTCTTGTTTCTTTCTCATTAGCATTAAGAAAATTCAAGGTTAAGGCATTATGCAATCTATCTTTGGGGGTCTTGGTTCCCCTTACCTGTTTATAAATCATTTCTTTTAAAATGTGATTAGATCTCTCAACAACTACTTGTCCTGTAGGAATATATGGTATACCTGCTGATGGGGGAAGCCCTTCTGTGTATATGTTTGTCTGATTGGTTGATAAATAAAGCACTGTTGGCCAATAGGGAAGCAAGATAGGTGGGACTAGGAGTCAAGGAGGATTCTGGGAAATGTAGTCAAGGGGAGAGTGTCGCCATGTGATCCTGGGAGGAGAGGATGCATTAGGATGGTGTCCTCAGAAAGATAAGTCCTTATAAAAATATATATTAGTAATTATGGGTTAATAATTAAGTCAGAACTTGCCATTAAGAAACCATAGCAAACGGCCAACAGCTTTATAATTAATATAGTGTCCTATGTGTTCATTTGGGACTGATGTGGCTCAGGGGCCAGGCTGGTGGGAAGAATGAACATTACAACCTGTAATATGCTTTATGTTATAATATTCAAAACAACTTTTTCATCTTGCTAGAGACATATGCTGGAGCATTGTTAGTTTTAATTTGTGTAAGTACTCCCATGATGGCCATAATTTCTAATAGGTATGTAATTAAAGAATCAGCTCTTTCAGAGCTCAAAGCAGTTGCCCATTGGAATTATGAAAATGTGTCTATTGTATGGTGTATATATTTTAATTTTCCAAATTCTGCAAAATGAAACACATCTATTTGCCAAGTTTCATTTCTTTGCATACTTTTAGAGTTATTTCCTACAAGTAAAGTTGTTTGGTTATAGAAGGAATAAGTAGGACTCTTTTTAATTATTTCCTTGACTTATTGCCTAGTGATGGAAAAATCCTTTTTTAACCTTTGTTATTGACATGGTATTTTTTTATGAAATTTTGAGGCCTCCAACACACTTTCTATTAATAATCAATCAATTTTACCATTACCTTGTGCTAGAGGACCTGGCAGACCTGTATGGGATCTGATTGTGATGTGTGTGTGTGTGTGTGTAGGATGATTTCTAATCCTGGTTCTTTTAAGTAATTGTATAAATAATGAAGTTAATTCTGTTTCATCAGTAATAAATCCATCAGTTTCACTGTGTAAGACAACTCTTTCTGTATACTGAATGTCGATAACTATAATGAGAGGTTCTGTAAAGTCCATTAGTACCATGAGACTGGCATACAATTCTGACTTTAGCACAGAGTTCTAAAGGTCCTATAAAGTTATTGGCTGAATTGATTCCCACAACAAGTAGTATTTGGTTTTACCTTATGTCTCTGGGCTATCTAGTCTCTGGTTCTTGGTCACCTAAGCAGTGTTGAGTATAGGTTCCATCTCATAGATAAGGCCTTAAGTCGAATCAGACATTGGTTGGTTACTCCCACAAGCTTTTTTGCTGCTATTGCCCTAGCATATTTTGTAAGCAGGACAGATTGTAGGTCAAAGGTTTTGTGGCTGGGTTGGTGTTTCCATTTCTCCTTTGATAGCCTACAGAGTACCTTTGCCATACCAAAGACACTTTGGCCATGATGTTTATCACAGCAGTAGAAACCCCAAGACAGGACCCATGTTCCATCTCTTTTCTCTTTGCTTCCTGCCACTATGAGATGTTCAGCTTTGTCCTATCATTGACCCCCCCACCCCCCACACACTGTTCCACTTCATCACAGGCCCCCAAAACAATAGAGCCACCCCATCACAGCCTGAAAACATGGAAGTTATGGACCAAGATAAACCCTCCCCTCACTAAGACTATTCTATCAGGTGTTTTTCACAATAATGGAAAGCTGAGTAAGCACCTGGCCTTACAGGGGATTTGTAAAGTATATTTATTAAGATTAAACATATTTTATTTAATACATTTGAATAGCTTGCTCTGGATTTTTTAAGTTGTAAACTTACCCCAGGTCATTCATTCATTCATTTATCTATTTATTCATTCATTCATTCAAGACAGGGTTTCTTTTTGTGCAGCTTTGTAGATCAGGCTAGTCTCAAACTCATAGAGAGCTGCCTGCCTCTGCCTCCTGAATGGTGGGATTAAAGACGTGCACCACTACCACCCAGCTTACCCCAGATTTATAAATAATAGCAAGCTTGGAATAAGCCTTAGGGCCTAGACTCAATAACCCCTAATAATAGGAACAAAATAAACCATGTGGTATATATTTCAAAGTCTACAAAAATCCACTAAGGAATTGTTAAGAGTGCTCAAATACCTTACCAGTTGCCAGACGACCAGTGGTACGCTGTGAATATTGCTGTAGTCTAACAGTTCTTCAGGTAAAACCTGTAATGTTATTGGCAATTCGAGACCTTTCTGATTTGCTGGTACCCCTACCATCAGCAGTGAACATCTGTCGACTGCATCCATGTACAGGGTACTGGGAACATGTACATAACTCAGTCTTTTTGTTTTATGTGTGTAAATGGAGTTCTTAATTGGGTTAAACAATAAAACCCAGAGTCAGATATAGAGGAAAATTCTGAGAGATCAGACAACAAGTCAAAGCCACCTTTAGCTCATTAGCTTCCCAGTGGAAAGGAGAATGAGTTCCTGTTTCTTTCCGCTTATATCCTCTCTCTGCCCAACCATCTCACTTCCTGTCTCTGCCCAGCCACCTTACTTCTGTCTGTCTGTACAGACCTCCAGACCTCTATGGTTAGCTAGTAGCAAGCTCCATTATCTGCTTTTCAGACAAGCTTTATTTATACAAGCAAGATGTCACAACACCTGTGTATCTAGCACAAGCATGCAAGCATGCAACTGAAGAGTTCTTTTCTAAAATGTCCCTTCCCCATGCTGCAAACGGGCATGGCATGGTGTGGCATGTTAAACTAGTCGTCCCTCTGGAATTCTGTGGGACACACTTGTGTGACTCAGCCACACATCTGGGCCTTCTATCATCAATGTCAAATCCTCTCTCTTCAGGATTCTTCTGCTGTCTTCTGCTCACATTTTCAAAGGGCCAGATTCTCATCTCCAGGCAGTTTTTATGTGAGGCCAACAGCCCACAGTAGGTGAGAACCATTTGTGCTCCAGGCCCCTGGGGCTAGCTGAGAGATTCAGAGCTCTGTCGGTGTACAGTGTGCAATCCAGGTGCCTGCTTGGATATCACAGTGTAACCATGTTATGGCTATAAAATAGGTCTGTGGTCACTTACTTTGCACCTGTTCATTCTGGAAGCATAGCCTTTATTAAAACATGGCCACAATGAGCTATCATTGCAAATACTTGCTCGTAGCTTCCAATAGAGGCAAGGCTCATTGGCTCTACTCTCCAATTTGCAGGAGAACTCAACTGGTCTAAGATCACTGCATCACAGAAACTACACCAGGGCAGGGCAGTATGGTAAGATGTGAACAGCACTCGCCTGGGAGGTCAGAGACTGGGTTCTACCTGGGTGTCTGCCACCAGTTCATTTGTGACAGAATCTTCAACTCCAGAGTGAGATGACCTCAGAATTCATCCATCTCCATATAAGCAAATTATGTACCCACTGAGAACCTCAGGCACTCTGCTCAGGGAGGGTTATACCCTAACTTTCTTAGGGGCTCTATACACTACCCAGTTGCTTCTTGGTAAATAGTGGCTCTCCTTTCACAGCTGTAAAACTCAAGGATAGTTGGAGTAGATGATGTATGCTGCTCAGACATGTATTTGTGGTTCCATTTTGGCTTCCAGTCTCAGTGTTTTCTATGGGATCCATGACTTATTTCCCCACTGGGCCCTCTTTCTCTTCAGTCCAGCTGTTTTCATGGAAGAGTTTGTATGAAATATGCCACTTACCTTTCTTAACCACCAGGGACTTTGTAGCCAGACCCAGTTAACCTGGTCGTCAGCACTCTGACTCACCAAGATGATGGAAGCAGCCTGTGCCTGTTGTTCTGGGTGCTGCTTTCTCACAGGCGGTTGGAAGAGAGCTCTGAAGTCTGAACATATACCATCCTGGAGCCCAGGAACCCCAGGAGTCCTGCAAGCAGGGGAGCCTGCAGCTGCCCTGGGTGGTGCCTAAACCTACTCTCCTAGTCACATGACACCAGATATGCACTTAAGGACAGTGTTACAAGTGGAGTACTGGCGGAAGAGCCAAGCTGACAGAAGATGAAAGAGAAATTGTGCACACCAGGCTAAAAGTGGCTCAGGTTCCTAAGACCCAGGAGCCAACTTGCACTTGCCAGTGTTGAGAAGAGTGAAAATGTGATGAGTAATCAGAAATGGAGCTGAAAAGCCACTCAACGCATTCATATTCCCAGCTCACTCTCTTCACCCTCCCTCTTCTCGCTCCCATCTCTCCTTGCATTGCCTGCTTCCAATCTTCTCTCCCCACAGACTTACCCTGCTTCTCGGATCTACATATCTGGCAAATGATGCCCATTCTATGGTTCCAGGCCTAATATAAAAGAAGAAAGAACCAACCAGATGTTCTCTGTATATACATGTGTATAGAAATAGAAGCAGACATGGGGATGTAGACAAAAACATAGGTTTAGAAAGACATCATATCGGTATGGACTTCAAATCCACAAAGAACGGACTCTGACATCTGGCTTAGCCCCGGTGGCCAGCCACAGTCTAACCACTCCTCAGCACCCACTAGTATCTTAGCTAGAGGGTTCTCCACAGTGAGAGAGAGGAATCAGGGTGTCTGTGAGCCTGGGATGCATCCTACGTGATCTACAGTAGCCTTGGGAATTCCTGGGTCCTTATCCTTATTTTGCTTTTCAGAGAGGCAGTCACTCAGCCCTGAGTCATTATATGTGAGATTTCCCCAAAGGCCGCCTATGCAGTACAGCAGCTCACTCCTGGAGCAGCAGCACATGCTTGGCATGACTCTGTTCCTTTGCATTAATTTTGAGGAATCATCATACTGGGGAGCTCCAGGGTTGGCCTGATAATGCTTAAGTGTCAAGGCTGAGAGCCACAAACACATCATTTGTTGGCATTTCCCCATTTCGATTACCTGTTCTTTAGTATAAATGTTTCTGACTAGATAACTACCAATGCACTACCTCTTTCTCCATTTATCAACATCTCAGGGATTTTGCATGGTCCTTCCAATGAGGTTTCAAATTCCCATCCATCAAATTTATCTTGTCTAACAGCATTCCATTAAGCTGATCCTTATTTCTGAGAATATAGTGTCATTGTAAATTTTACTCTTATTAGTCCCACAAGTTTTTAGGTTTGTTCAGAGACAAATTGTTCCCTTAATCATTATTAACTTTTCTGGTGAGTCAAAAGAAAAATCACATCGTAAAATATTCCCATAATGAACTGTAGTAGCAAATTCTTATCTTCTGTAGCCATTCTCAACCTGTGGGTCGTGACCCCTTTAGTAATAATATCAGGTATTTACAATGCGGTTCATAACCATCAAAATTACATATGTGAAACAGCAATGAAATAATTTTATGGTAGGGGGATCACTGCAGCATGAGGAACTGCATTGGGGTCACAGCCTTAGGAAGGTTGAGAACCACCAATCTACTATAACACAGTGAAAAGAAGAACACACAGCATCAATGCTTCTCTTTGATATGGTGCTGCCAATGCTACACAGCACAGAGGACACAAAGGCTCCCTCCCTGTCTTGACAGGTGACTACTGTGGGCTGCTGGGTCCTCATCTCAAAAGCAAATCTGCAGAAATGTAAAGTAAGAAGGAAATGTGGATTATGGAAATAGCGAAGCCATCTGAAATCCCAAGGAACTCTGGAGAATTCTAAAGTCCATGTCAAACCAGCGACATAAGGAATGTGAGGCCTTGTGGAAGGAAGGTTACCAGTGCCCTGCAGAAGGATCACCATATATGATGAAGCAGTTATGACTCCAGACTGGCTGTTGCTTGTCATTTGCATTTCCTTAGGGCTAAGCTTGCCTATCTTTTTATTCAGAAACCACCTGCTAATCGTACTTTTCCAGTGCTAGGCCATAGACAAGTGTCAAAGAACCATAAGTCAACCGAAGTGCTGTGTATGAACTTTATCCCCCTTGTTCTTCTCCTCCAAGCACTGAGGAAGACTAGGGTAGTCACTGCCAAGTACAGTCAATGGCTCCCATATAGGGGCAGGAGCTCTCTTGTGCTAAAATAGCCAGACTCCTGTGTATTACCACAAACTAACATACACCATTTGAAATAAAACCTTAGAACAGGGGAAACAAGTTTTAAACAAAGCTAGCTAAGATATTTACAGACATGAGGAAAGAAATTACACATATGGAACAATAACAAAAAAATTAATGAAAATAATGATTTGAAAACATTAGCTATGGAAAGTGTCCTACTTGACAAAAGATACAGAAAGATGGATGAAACCAGAAAAAAATTGTTAGTAAAATTGAAGATTGTGTTGGGAACTCAGAGAAGAAAGAAGAAAATACAAAAGACATGAAAAGAATTGTGTCCTAATAATAAAAAGAGCAACAGGCACAATCCAGACCAGTGGTTCTCACTCTTCCTGTGGTGACCGCCAACCATAAAGTTACCTTTGTCACTACTTCATACGTGTAATTTCACTATTGTTATTAATTGTAATATAAATACCTGTTTTCCAATGGCCTTAGGTGACCTTTGTGAAAGGGATCACAACCTGCAGGTTGAGAACCACTGATCTAAACTGGTATCTGCTGTAATTGTGTTATGACCCAGAACAGCACAGTACATCTAAACAATCTAGGAAATGAAAACAAAATTAGAATAACACTTGAAGAAAAAGCAATGGAGATAGTTTTAAGTTTTCAAGACACATATGCACACGAAAAGATCAGCTCAGGGGCTGGAGAGATGGCTCAGCTGTTAAGAACATGTTCTGCTCCTGCAGAAGGCCAGTGAGTTCCAAGCACTGTAAAGTAGCTCATAATCACATTTCACTCCAGCTTCAGAGAGCTGACACCTTCTGGCCTCCACGGGCACCTGCACTTATGCTCATGTAACCACAAACAGACATGCACACATATGATTAAAAAAATAAAAACACATCTGTTTTTTTCTTCAAGAAACTCTCTGACGCACAGATGGACACAGATGCACATTAACAACCTCAGCCTTCTGGAGGGCAACACTGCAGGCAAAAGTACCAACATGGGCATCACAGTGTGGGGAGGTTGGGAAAGAAGGGAGAGAATCCAAAAGCATGATGGGAGTTATGACAACTGGGAAACATTAAGAAAGCTTACGGAAGTGTATCCTAAAATAGCAATTATTACAATAGGCATAAATGAAATAAATCTGCCACTTCAAGGCAGAGATTCTCCCAGAATAGATTAAAAGAGACTTCTACTATATGGAACTCAATGAAAACACAGAAAATAAAAAGGCTTAAATAGACACAAAATACAGCAATAAAAATATTTCCAAATAAGGGTGGGAAAGAGAGCTTTTATTGGAATGTAAAATGAATTTTAAAAAATAAATAAATCTTAAACTAAAATCAATCAAAAGAGATGAAGGAGGTCACTTCATACTCATCACAGGAGAAATTCACCAAGATGAAGTCTCAATTCTGAACATCTATGCCCCAAATACAAAGCCATCCATTTTCATACATTACTAAAACTCAAAGCACATATAAAACCTCACATACTTGTAGTGGGAGACTTCAACATCCCACTCTCACCACTAGACAGGACCACAAGACAGAAACTTAACAAGGATACAAAGGATCTAATAGAAGTTATGACCCAATTGAGTTTAACAGACATCTATAGAAAACTCCATCCAAACACAAAAGAATATACCTTCTTCTCAGTGCTACACAGAACCTTCTCAAAAATTGACCACATACTTGGCAACTTAGCAAACCTCAACAGGTACAAAAAAAATTGGAATAACTCCATGTATCTTATCAGAGCACCATGTTTTAAAGTTAGAATTCAACAATAACACGAATCGCAAAAACTCTGCAAACTCATGGAAATTGAATAATGCACAATTGCACCACTCCTGGGTCAAAGAAGAAATTTAAAAAATTAAAGACTTCCTAGAATTCAATGAGAAGGAAGACACAGCATACCCAAACTTACGGGACACTTTGAAAGCAGAGATAAGAGGAAAGTTCATAGTACTAAGTGCCCACATGAAGAGACTGGAGAATAGTCACACTAGAAAATTATCAGTACAACTGAAAGCTCTAGAACAAAAGGAAGCAAACTCACCTCAGAGGAGCAGAAGCCAGGAAATAATTAAATTGAGGGCTGAAATCAATAAAGTAGAAACTATGAAATCGATACAAAGAATCAATGTAACAAAGAGTTGGTTCTTTGAGAAAATCAATGAAATAGACAAACCTTCATCCAAACTTACCAAGCGGCAGAGTATGAACATGCAAATTAACAAAATCAGAAATGAAAAGGGAGACATAACAACGGACAGTGAGGAAATCATCGGGCCATATTTTGAAAAGCTATACTCCATAAAATTTGAAAATTTAAAGGAAATGACAATTTTCTGGATAGATATCACTTATCAAAATTAAATCAAGAACAGATAAGCAATTTAAATAGATCTATAACACCTAAGGAAATAGAAGCAGTCATCAAAAGTCTCCCAACCAAATAAAGCCCAGGGCCAGATGGCTTTCAGTGCAGAATTCTTTCAGAAATTCAAAGAATAGGTTATACAAATTCTTCTCAAAGTATTCCATGCAATAGAAGCAGAAGAGTCTTTGCCATACTCTTTTACGAGGCTTCAATAACTTGGATAGCCAAGTCACACAAAGATATAACTAAGAAAGAGAACTTCAGACCAATATCCCTCATGAACATTGATACAAAAATACTCAATAAAGTATTGGCAAATTGGATCCAAGAACACATCAGAAAACTCATCCACCATGATCAAATAGGTTTAATTCCAGGAATTCAGGGATGGTTCAACATATGAAAATCCATCAATATAATCCACCATATAAACAAGCTGAGAAACAAAAATCACATGATAATCTCATAAAATGCTAAAAAAAAAACCTTTGACAAAAATCTAAAACCCCTTCATGATAAAGGTCTTAAAGAGATCTGGGATGACAGGAACATACCTAAATATAATATACAGCAAACCAACAGCCAACATCAAACTGAATGGAGAGAAACTCAAGGCAATTCCTCTAAAACCAGGAACAAGGCAAGACTGTCTCCTCTCCCCATACCTCTTCAATATTGTACTTGAAGTTCTAGCTACAGCAATATGACAACAAAAGGAGATCAAGGGGATATAAATTGGAAAGGAAGAGGTAAAACTTTCACTATTTTCAGGTGATATGATAGTTTACATAAGTGACCCAAAAAAACTCTACCAGGGAACTCTTACAGCTGATAAACACCTTCAGCAAAGTGGCAGGATACAAGATCAACTCAAGAAAATCAGTAGCCCTACTAAATACAGATGATAAAAGGGCTGAGAAAGAAATCAGAGAAACATC